CATTTGTGCAATCAGTTTGATTCACAACTTTAAAAAAAATAATTGGAATAACAGGTGGAACAGTTTTCTGGGCTAATGAAATGGATCTCTCCATGAAGGTCTGATGAATATGAAAGTCAGCAGGAGTGAGAGTAGGAAGATAGAAAGAATCACCTCCTCCCCTTCAACAAATTGCTAGATTTGTTCAGTTGCTTGTTCAGCACATCCCACAACAGGTGCTTCAGCTAAGAGTGGTTTGAAGTGCTGCAGAGGATGAGAATTAGATCCCTGTGTCCTTCACACAGCCAATACAAAGAGATGCAGGAGGTGTACACAGTCAGATGTGCTCCGGACCAGACTCCTGACCCGTGCAGTACGGGCACAAGTGTTTTCTGTCCAGCACAGCAGTACAGGCTCAGCTTCTCTGCATTCAAACTGCAATTAAGAAAACAAATTCAGATAATTCAACAGTGATTTTTGTGTTTGTGTGTGAGGCTGCTTCTGCAAATATCAGATACTTCAACAAACTGTTGAGTCCTGAAGATTGCTGATTCTGTAAGGCGTAAAAGACAGGTATGGAAGGATACAAAATGTAATCCCTGAAAACAGAAGAAAAAGGCTGTGTAATGAAGATTAAGAAATCTGATTCAGTTTTGTTTTTAAAGAATTCTGATTCAGTTTTGTTTTTAATGGTTGCTATAAAGTCATGATTTAGTGCCACCAGTTTTTCTTATATGGCTGTATGGCCATATATCTGTACTCCATGTGTTGTCTAATTTTCAGCTACCTGACGACTATAAATGAAGTAAACCCTTAAGAGCCTAATATTTTTGCAACTGTTTATTTGTTTGTAACATAGTTTTCATAGAAAATACTGACAATTTCTAAAGCTGAAAGCAAAATTCCATGTCTCTTTCTTTGGTGGCAGTGCAGGTTTAAGCAATTTCTGCTCTCAGCCCTTCCTTCCTGTCTCCATACCACCACATCTATTGTGCCAGCACAGCTGCTTGTGCAGCTTGTGGTGAAAATGGGAACCATCTGATAAATCCTAGGGCAGCAGAAAGAAATCAAAATCAAAAGGAAGCTTATAACAATGTGTGAATTAAGATGTGTAAGAGGCTTACCTTGCATTGTGATATCTATGAGGCCTTGTTAAGTTGACCCTAAAGAATCTGAGGTCTAGGGGAACCTTTAGAGTCTCTCATGAAATTTCAAAATATGTCTAAAGAACCCTCTTATTTACTTAAGTCAAAACCTCTTTCTAGTGACCTTACTTTTTAGCTGTTTGCTGCTTTGAAGATTCTTTATGGAGCAATATTAAACTTACTCAAAAATAAAAAGGAGTTAAGACAGACCCTTAAGGGCCAACTGTTCCATCTCCTTTTTTGCTCTTCTCTCAGATAGTAAGATGAATTGTAGATACATATATATGTTTGTGTATACATATAGGTATAGGGAATGTGTACGTATAATCTTTACAACATTTTTGAAAGCCACTGTATTTTTTTTGTGTTGGGTAAGCAGTTTGTCTGGTTTTGCTGCCAATGGGTGAGCAGAACAGCCATGACAGCTTTCTTAAATACAATATCCATATAATTAAACATGGTTTTATTCAAAATATTTTATACTTGAACAAAGCTGAACATTTAATTTCTGAAGTGACCCACAGACATTGATATCTCACCCATCTGTTGGGCAGTTTCTCCAGAGTGCCTCAGTTCCTTCTTTTTTTGAAAACAAGGGCTTCTGTCACACTGAAGTCTCACATCAAATGTTGCCCATTTACAGGAATACAATTTTGGAGCACTTCACTGTCCAGATGCTCTGCATATGGGAAGCTGGGTATCTGGTTTCCATTCCAGGGACCAGGCAGTATAATGCATATCATTTAGGTGCTTTGAGATTTTGGCTAATTTCAAGTGTGTGAATAATGGTTGGAACTATTCACTTCCTTGATGCTAGGCAAATGCCCAAAAGATTTACTAAAATGTTTAATCACAGTAAAACACACTGGTCTCCAACTCAGAGCTTTTAGTCACAAACTCATTTTTCTTCACCTCATATTCTCATACACTGAGTTTTCTGTGCTTTGAAGTAATTATTTTTCTCCTTAAACCTTAAATACATGGCAAGATTTCACTGCTATTTTACCCTGATAATTTTGTCTTCAGATCAGACAGCTAAAATGAAGTAATTTTGGAAGGCTGCATTTCCTTAACATTTTTCCCCAGAACATCTCAAAATGTGTTATGAAAAATAATCAAGCTCTTCAGTATGTCAGAGACACTTGAATACTTGAAGGGAAATTAATTCTGTCACAGCTCTAGTCTTTCTTCCCAGTCCAGTATTCTCCTGTCCTGATTCATTCCTCCTCTTTTCTGATCCTCCTATGCTAACAAAACATCAACTACCTTTGATTCATACCTCTGTTTAACAGCTATATTTTACTGCAGACTATTTCATCTAAAGGCTTGATTACACCATACTTCACCAGCCATCAAAATCTGTTTTCCTTCTGAAGTACTTTTTTTCTCCCCCATACCCCTTTATCCTTTTGATCAATTACTACCTGCTCAATTTACACTTTGTCATTTATTGAATCAGTCTTATTTCCTCAGTATCTGTTTCCTTCCTCTTTTAATGTGTTCCATTTCAGTTCCACCCCTTTTCATCAATCTTTTGATGTTTCTTAATACTTTATTTGCGGGATTGCAAACCTGACTCTTTCTTTGTATGTGTTTCCTTTTTGCTTGAATCAAAAATCTGAAAGTCCACTAGACATGCTGTGAAGGAAATTTTGTTTGCCTTTTTACACCATTCTTCTCTCAACTTCTTTCAGTTAAGAGAATATCTCACATCTTCAAGCCTCGAATGTTGGAAAACACATTCTTTTTTATTCACCTGTTGAGTTTGGGTTGGATATGAAAGATTTAGAGGGCATCACGAAACCAGAAAATTACATCAGACTGAATAAAAAGGGAGAATTCCTACATCTCGTTTTTCACTGAACGTATTAACACCCTAATTTAAAGACATGCCATGGGACCTCTCATTGTCATTCTGGGTATTTTGCTGGATAAAAATCACTGAAGACATGTACCGCTGCTGATTTCAGACCAGCAGTCAGCCTTTTTCACTCAGTTGTCAGTAATGATGAATACCGTATAAATGGAAGACACGGTGGTTTTGTCAGAGCTAGTGAGAAATACTTCACACCTTACTTACCAAAAGAGTTAAACAGATGCCCAAGGCACATTTACCAGCTGTACTATACTAAAACTGGTACCAGACATCTCAGTAGCTGCTTTCCTCAGAAGCATTGCTGCAGGCCAGAGTCACTCCTTCAGCTGCTGCCTCTTCTCAGGTGTTCCTTGCTACCTCCCCAACACCTTTCATCTATCTCCTGGCAACTTTAATCATTTACTGATGATGGCAGTGAGAAGCCCTGAAGTTTTTAATACAAGTATTAGTGTTAGCAGTAATATTAGAGTCAGAGATTCTCCTATTCCACTAATTTGTCAATTAATTACTTTGCTAATTTAAGAAATAAGAATAGCAATAAGATATTTAAAAATAATAATAAAATAGCATGTTAGACAGTACTGTTTCAAAATATTCACTCAAGAATCTACTGTCTGCTCTCAAGACCCAAAAGTGACTTGGCAACAGGATACTGACAGCTTGGTTTTGCTTTTGATAGCATTAAAAATTCAGGGGGTTTGAAAATAAAAACCCAAATATGTATGAAAGCTGCTGAAGGAACACATTATTAAAGTTCTGAGCTGTAGCAACACCATGATCATTCAAAAGTTTTGTCTTGATAGAGAATAAAAATACATTATGCTGCCCTTTTCAAAACTCCCAAGCATTCTTTTTCACCAAGAGACACGATTTATGAGCACCATCAAGTGGCACGGCACATAAATTACAGCTAGTATTTTGACTTCCTCCTTTTTCCTCAAACCACAGAATCTAGCTAGGCATTTAGATGTTGATTACTAAATTTCCTGCATTTTTCAAAAATTCACAAAACAGTCTTTCTGCTAACTTCTCAAAGACATGGTAGAAGTAGAAAGCTTTTTTAAAATATTCTGCATTTCACCTGAACGGGGCACTTGAGTGTTCCATGCTGGTTAATAGAGGCAAGTATTTTCAGAGTATCTAAAATTCTTTTGCAAACACATCCTTTTTTTTTTTCTTTTGTCTATACTGCTATCACAATCATAACTGATTCCTCCTGACAGGACCATTGTTCCCCTTATGGCAGAATAAGGATTCATCAACTAAACTGTATCTGCTGCTTCCTGAGAATATGGTTAAAAGGGTTCAACCCTTTTCCCCCCCCACCTTTTTAATGCTTACATATTTTTCCTTTTTTTTCTCCCTATTTTCATTCTTCAGTGCATGATACTCCATAAGGTATCAATAAAATTTTGATCCATCAAAAAAAAACTAAAATCAGGCATCAAGACTGTATGTCTATCCTGCACTTCAGTGAATTTGGGAACCTCCTCTGATGAGTATGGAGGAAATTATGTGGCCTTCATTTGTGCCCTATTAATGGTGACTGATTCTTTTAAACTCTCTTTTCTGTAGCAAAATCAGATCCCAAAAATAATACTGGTTAGAGGAATCTTATGCCTTCCACGATAATTATATTGGTAATCGGTTTTCACTTTTCACATGGATGATCTTGTTCTTAGGCCATTTCCTAAGAACAAAATTGTGTAACACTCAATTAGGATTTTCTTTAATTTTAAGCATGACTGACTTTTGCAATGATCTCTTCCTTAAACAACACCCCTCACAGCCCCAGATTAATTGTAGCTATAACTGACATGACACACAGACTTTTAAGCAGATAAATATGAAACCTCTCTCTTCTACCCTCTTTTACTACTTTGCTCCCAAAGCTGAAGAATCAAAGCAATGTAGATTCCCTTGGCTTTAACAGCAAGTATACATACAATTTCTTTCTTTGCTTCAGTAGTTCTTTTATTAATATGTAAGAACCTGGATGTCACACTTTATAGTAATTACTTTTAGATTTTTTTAATCTTCACATCTGCTTTTTTTGACCAGTACTGCTTCTTTAGGCTGGACAGATTGTGACTTTTTAAGAGACCATCATACTAAACCAAAGCTAAAGAACTTCAGCACTTGAGCATGTTCAATCATAGTTATTATCAAATTACAAATTGAATATGACAGCAGACAGGACACACATTCTGGGCTTTCTCAAGCCTGAAACATTTCATGAAGCTGAGGTGATGTGCTAACTGGAGTTAATAGGAAGTAACCAATTGAGAACTAGTGGTTTAAATGAGTCAAAAATCTTAATACTCATTAAAAGTGTTGAAATAAAGAGCAAAAGGGCAGACATATATTCCCAGCAGAATAATCTTCAGCAGTCAGCTAAAGCAGCATTAGTCCCCTTTGTGATGCATTAACAGAAGTAGTTATTGCACCTTAATTGTAAGATCTTGCTCACATTCATTTTAAGAGCTCTTCTGTAGCAGCAACCATTTGACCATGACTCCACATTGAAAACTAGGGTTTATAAAAGTAAAAGCATATGTCAGTACAGGTAACTTATCTGTAAGAACAGAATTGTGCACCCTGTGGACTGGGCACAGAGGGATGCATGGCAACTACCTCGAAGAGTCACATTAGAAGCTTGATGTGGTATGATGGTGGAAATTTGCTGCTGCTTGCTCTGTCTCTAATGGTGAGCCACTACACAAAGGATAACATTGCCAATACATCAGTTATAAAAGAACAAGCTGCTTAAATTATGTCAACTCTACCCCCTATGTTCCTCCATTTTAGAGGACTTCTTTAAATACTTTTTAAGGTGTACAATTTCTATCACATGCAAAATAAGCCTGATAATTAAATATAGCTTTTTGTCAACTAATGCTTCTAGTTCAACTTTCCAATGATTGGAAATTATTTTGAAAGCTCTCATGTTAAAAGTGGAAAATTATCTGAGATTATTCTCCTGTGACAGAAGGAATCCATAAGGAATTTTATCAAGTTGCTGAAGTATTTTGGTTTAAAATTCTGCATCTTTCCATTTATTTGTCATAGCTTTTCCATACTGACATGCTCAAAACTGTAGTCTTGACAGCCTCAGAGACTTGCATTTACCTCAAATAAATTAATCTAGTTCTTTGATGCTGGGGCAATGTAAGCAAGTTCTCCCCTTTGCTTATTAGAGGTAGAAAAGTCAGAATTTATTCCTAATTTTAAAACACTTTAAGGTAAGGAGTAGATCATGTACCAGCTTCCAGCATATCCTGCCAGTTTACAACACCACATCACCTCCTGTACTCACAGTAAATGGCCCTGTCCAAAAGTTTATTATGACTAATTTTTTTATTTTAAAGTTTTTTTAGCATCTCTATTCATTGAGTAAATGTCATTCTTTCAGGTAGTCCAGATGAGGAAAAAGCAGGCTGTGTTATAATAAGTGTATCAGGATATCACAGTGAAATACCTTATCAATCTCTTTATTCGTTGGTTAAAATGTAATGCCATACAATTCTTAACATTTACGGACTGAAAAGAAATCATCTGCATAAAACAGAAGCAAAACTGAAGGATACTAATTAAAAAAGCCATCTTGCTTCAACTTTTGAAACGATTACATACAGAATAATATACATATTTACATTACAAGTATATTATATAAATATAATATATATGTAATCTTGTAACCACAATAAATATCAAGGTCTTTTTTAGGCACACAGCATAGAAAAAAATGCAGAATCTGCACAATCCTTAAGATTCTTGGAGTGACTCACTCTAACATTATTTTCACACTGAAAAAGCAAGTATTTTACACAAAATATACAGCCACAGTTTACGCAGTCCCCAGTGAACAGGGAATCTTTGATCGCCTTCCCATAAGTCTACTCCTTGATTTTCTAATACTATTGCTCTATACAGCTATTACATAAGAAAATAGTTTGCAGGTTTGTTTTTTACTCAGCTAATAGCCTAAGTAATTATCAGTGCTAATAAAATAAGTACAGCATATCTACATAAGGTATATACAGGTGTTTACACAAACACAGGTTTGGTGAACTACTACTGAGCTCACCATTAATACTTGGTAGTGAACCTGAAATTCAGCAGAAAAAAATTTATTTTCAATGATATAACCTCAGAAATATTTTATCATTTGAGCGAGACCTGGGCTTCAGAAATAGAAAGCTTTAAATTTAGACGTTAATTAAAAAATCAAATTCTTGGCTATGCTGGCAGATGTAGGCTCTGCCATTGCATTTGATTGTTTCCTTCAGTGCAAATAAAACCTCAGAGAATTAATCCAACGTGAATTTCCTCAACCAGTACGCACAGTCATGACATTTTAAAGACTGTCACTATGGAGCACCTGAGATCGCACCCTAGTAAGTGACGCTGGCCACTTCTCACAGCAGGGCCGTGATCAGTGAGAGAAGAAAGAAACAGCACTTTTTTTTGTTCTGTGGTTACAAATCAGACTCTGGCATGTCAGGCATATCTGCCATCAGGTAGCCAATACCATAGCGTCCGTTTGGAGCCGTGTCCAGAGTTGGTGAGCCAGTCTGTTTTCGATAGATGTTTTTGCCAAAATTTGGAGACGGCACTTCACTTGGACTCTTCCCATGAATCAGACTTGTATTATCTCCCTCCAGATTAACAGGTTCCTTTATTATCCGACCTCTTTTGTAGGATACAGATGCCAAACTACCAGAACTGTCATCGATAAGGTTGCAACGGCGTACCATGAAGACTATTGGGACTGGCAGTATGGCCAACACCATCAAAGATATACAGACAATCATTCCCCATGTTGGATAGCTGTGGAACTCTTCCTGAGCCTGAGAAACACAACAGAAAATTGATTAATACATCTTTACCAGAAAAATAACAAAATCCTGCAGTCCCCATTCAGGTCTGCAGTTTTCAAGCACATACTCCACGGCACTCACAGTGTAGGCACCACTACAGATCTCAAATTTGAAGAGTCATGGAGATGTAGGACTGCTATCTTTCAGCCAGTGAGCAGGACTAAAACACTGTTGAACAGTTTCTGAGAGCACTTCAGCAGCACACAAATGAAGATTTTCCCTTTAGGCTTTCTGCTACATTTCTCTGTAATTTTCTGATCCTTTAAAGGGTGTCCAGAACAGACAAATGTGCAATGGTTATCTGTAACTATGCCTGAAAAATTAGCCCTTGTTCTGTAGGCTAATAGCTGGTCTAGACAGGAACCATCTCAGTTATTGCACTTTGCATAAACATCAGGTAAACTGTAATGCTGGGGCACTACTATACCCCACACCTCTACTGCTTCCACACATCAACGGCCAACAGGTTCTGCTTGCCTAACTTTGTACATGGAAAGGAATGGCATCTTTGGCATTCTAAGGTATCTCTCTTTCTAATTTCTGAGGGCAAGAATCAAATGTAACAAGAGCATTTTTCTGAGCATCATGCAGTGGTCTGGATAGAGGCAGGCATACTAGCTACCAATACTTAAGCTAACCTCCTGTGTTTATCCTTTACCTGCCTATGCTGTGACTTCCCCCCACAGCTAATTTGGGAAAGTTTTGTTGGATGAATGTCTCTGACATTTTCTCACTATTTTGCATAAAAAGCCTGTAGAAATAGCTGAGGGCTCATGGGCCTACAACTAGCTGAAGTCTTCAGAGTTCCCTTGACTGAATCTCTTTTTGAAGTCAAAGCTCAGAACTGTCTTGCCACTCACCAGACAAGCTCTTATCAGAGACAGGTTTTAATACAGCTACTTACCTACACTGTGATATGTGTTCCCAAAGGGAAAGAATTATGACACATAAAAAACCTGATGTGATATCTGAAATGATTTATGCGGTTATCATCTGTTTTCTGCAGTAAAATAAGACTTAATGAATGTGAACAACCTCTCCCATGATTAAGAGTTTCTTTATCATACATTATAAAGTAAGTCACCAGAGCATACAGGTTTGTGTCTATCAGTTATATTTTAAAGCAGAACTACTTAAAATTAAAAAACTATTAGTTTTACATCAAAGTTACTTGAGCTAAAAGCAACCATTTCATTATTTATACTGATTTTTAATTTCTAGTTGTAATTTTTTGTCCACTCGTGTTCTCAAATGTTTCAGATACGATCACAAAGATGATGATGATGATGGTATCATATATACACACAAACCCTACATATACACATACGTACTACATACATACCGTATCTTCAATCCAAGCATTGTAACCAGGAGGACTCAATCCCATTTGGACAATGCTAGCTACCAGCAAACATAACAATACAAAGGGTGAAACATACTTCCACATGTAGTAATAATACTGGCTTGGAGAAAACCCCAGCATATCCTTCAGGTCCTCCATAAATCTGTGAAGGGATTAAAATGTTATTGTTAGTGTAGACACTGATTTTGAGCACTATAACCAATACATAGCACCCAACCTGAGGGAATGAACACACTGGAAAAATGGATATACAGGAGCAGCTGTAGTTCAAACTACTTGACTGTCTGAAAAATAGAGCTTATACTAGTAATTCAGACCAGACAAACAAAAGGAATCCCTGTACAATGCAGTGACTTAGTAAGCTGCTTGTTGGACTGTGCTGGAAGATATTTAAAATCACATTTCTTTTAGAAGATTCTTTTTTACATTTTCTTGTACTGTCTACTGGGTTGTTTACCAGCACACCTTACAGACTGTGCAATATTAATTTTGAACTCACACACGTGCTGCAATCTAAAAAAAAAAACTTTATGCATAAACTATGGTTTGCATCATATAAGCTGCTGAAATAAAACTCTGCCAAGCTATAGTTTTGAACCTACACAAGTGCTGCAGTCTAAAAAACAACTTTATGCATAAGCTATGGTTTGCATCATATAAGCTGCTGAAATAAAACTGTGCCAAGCTATAAAACTGCCTCCTTTCTCCTCAAAATTTTAAGTTAAGACATGAACAAAACTCCTATTTTTGTACTCATGATGGAGTACATGGTTCCAGAGCCAGTAGAAACAGAGAATGAGAAACAGAGAAATAATTCTTCTGGAGTGTGCACAAGCAATGATTGTTTTAACTCCCTTGTGGCCCAACTCCCTTTTGAAATGTGCATCTCAAAAAAGCTCTTATAGAAGGATGTTTTCCAAGCAGTTACACATGTGAAGCTTCTGTCATGTAAAATACTCAGAAAAATAGTATTTACTCTCAGAAAAATACTATAACTGCACAGCTTGAGGCATTCTATTATTTGTTTACACTGAAATAAAACACATCATTAAAAGGAGCTGAATTTACAAATGGATTGTGTCCTCCATAGGTAGCCTTCTCTTTCTGAGATTTCCAGTTCTACCAGTTGAACGTGAATCTGTTATCCCTACTTTAATGCAGTCTTCCATTGTCTCCATCCTACTCATCCTCTTCTAAAAGTCTACTTTAGCTCAAACTCCTTATAGCGCTGATTTCAGTGTGATTTTCCTTCTTAGCTACAGAAAATCACACACTGTCTCTTTTCTATAGCACCCTTTGGATTCTATGTTTTGGTTTTCTACTATCTGATCAAAGACTTAATGTCTAGTAAGACATTTACACAAAACTTCGTCTACAGGGAACCCTTGGTACTATCACAACCAATGACAACCTGAGGCTGTTGATACTGACAGCTTTTGGAAACTGAATTGCTAAGTCCCTGAAGGATATTCTGCAGAAACACACATCAAAAGAAATACTAGGGATACTCCAGAGGGAATACTCAGGTGGTCATTATAAATCAGAAACTTGGCTGTTAACTTTTCACTGTATCCTGTCAGAACGCCTTCTGAAAATATGAATTGCCTGCACTGTGAGTCATAAGCAAAGGATTACCTTATCTTAGCTATGCCTAAACATCAACTTCCTCACAGGTAAGCTGCTGCCTTTTGGCATGTCTACTTCCATTCACACTGGAGCTTGGACATTATCAACCTTCTAACCAGGTCATCTGTTTTATCTTTTGGTTGCATGTGTAAAATAATCCACGCAGTGTTTTTATATCTAAATGATCAATTATAGGATTATACATGTGGTCCAAGTTGGAACCAAGTTGGGACTTGCTTATCAAGCAAGTAGACCAAGTACTACTTGCATAGACCAGAAACAATGTCTGGAAACCATAAAATTAAATTTTCTTCTTTCAGTTTTGTTTCATTGTGACAAATGACTGGCTGATTACTCAGATCAAACAAGTGAAAAGTCAAATGAAACGCCACCCATTCTATGTTGCACTTTTTCTTCATGCAAAGGAATTACGGACATTTTAATTTCTACAATAATTACTACTATAATTAATTACTACTATATGTTAGTATAGCATGTTCTGTTCAACCTGTGCATGGCACAAGTTATTTTTGATATGAACTCTTCTATTCCTTAAGTATGGCATATACTGATCTCACCTACTGAACACATTCTGGTGATTTTAGATATAAAATGAATTCAAGAAAAAGAAAAAAAAAAAAAAAAAAAAAAAAAAGGGATTTATGGTCATTCCTTTTCCCTAACAGATCACTTTACTTCATTGTCAGCTGTGCTGCTTCCAAGTAAGCTTTGACCCTGTTTTTGCTATCATCCCCTCTCTCAATGGTCATTCCTCTTCCCTAACAGATCACTTTACTTCATTGTCAGCAGTGCTGCTTCCAAGTAAGCTTTGACCCTGTTTTTGCTATCATCCCCTCTCTCACAACTAATGCAAAGAAAAATGAATTGCCCTAACACCCCAAACTAAAGTTAGTTCATAAATTGAAACTTTTTTATTTTTACTGCCATTAGAGCTTGCTTTGTTTCTTTCTCAGGCTGCCTGTAATACTGCATTGAAATACTCATCCTTATCTGTTGCTTAGACCATGGTTATTTCTGAAATCCTTTTCTTGATGTCTTTCTTGATACAAACTCCCTATACTTTTCTATCTAGCCTCCTTTTGAAATCGCTAATTTTGTCTCTTTTACTACATTCTCCTGTTTTTGGACTCCTTGCAATCATTATTTGGGTGTTAGTACACTGTTCTGATGTAGTGTATCTTGCTCCAAACCTGTTCTTATTAACAGCCTAGATTCTGGACCAGACTGACATGCTTTCTAATTACTTGTATTTCTGAGTATAATGCAAATGCTTCATACAATATAATAAAAATAGTAATAATTATTGTAAAGAATGGTGTTGATATTGACAGGGAGATACACTTCCTTCACTTACTTGTCTATTCCATAAATTCGGATGACTGCAATATTTTCCAAAATTACCACGATAAGCAGGGGCAGAGTAGCTGAGTAGTCATCAAACATTGTCACAAAATAATTTCCAGAGCGCTGCACAAAGATCAGGCCAATAAAAAACGCTACCAAGCAGCAGATAACTGGAATATAGGACAGGAATGTGAATTATATCTACAACAAAGTTCCACAGACAAGAAGCAACTAACATACTATTTCAGAAGTAAAGACAATAACATTTTACTGTTTAGAGGCTCTCAATTATAAGAATACTAGTAATCCCACCTCTTTCCTATAAAACCTAGAAGTTATGAAATTAGAATTACTAGAATCACCATATCATAGCAGTCCTGATTAAGAGATTAATTAGCAGGAATTAATCAAGTGACTATTTCTCACTAAACATAATGTAAATGCAAAGGTAAAATCAACCAGTAGGCAAAATACCACATATCATGTTAATTGGTCACCAGTTTACTTTTTGGAATTCAGAAGTGAAAAGAACTTAGAAGTGAAAATATGGAGAAAAAAATAATATGAAGACATTTCTATGGTTCTAAAAAGACTATGATTCTAAAAAATACAAAGGCTGAATAGACTGCTCCTAAAAGATCATTCATAGCATGAAGTTCTATTAGGATCTGTTTAAATTTATTTGTACATTAAGCAGCATTTTTGTCCCTTCTTTAGGGAAAAAACAAAATATATTTCTTGAAAGGCTGATCCTGTATAATGGATCTCAATATCATTTTCTCCAACTAAATTTGTCAGCAGCAGGACTTAATGCTTATAAGTAAAATTTCAATAAATGGTGGAATCAGTTGTAAGTTCAGTATCAGTAAGACTGATTCTTACAGTTATAAGTGCTCTTTTTTTTTATTTCCGCACAAGGAACTTAGGCTAAGGATACATCTAAGTAGTCCAAAATTAGGTGAAATTAATCTGGGTCAAAACATAAAATATCTTTACAGAATACACCCATTGCATGAATCCAAGATAATCAATTATTATTGATTAAAGTATTGAAAGTAAGACAATGATACTGTTTCAAATACTGTGGTAGAAGTCACTTTCTTGAACCTTGTAGGAACTGTTTCTATAATGTTTTCATGGACTTTCCACCACTCAGCATGAGGCATTGTTGAATGCAAAATAAATTTAGGCATTTGAGTTAGTTTCTCTGAACTCAAAGAGTTGCCAAATGTACCAACAATTTTGTAAAAGTTGAAAATTTCTGTCTTGTAAGCATAAAATCTGCAGCTACTGCAGCCATAACCCTTCTTAAATACCACCAGCACTGCATGAAAAATAATCCAGATATTTCATTTTTTTCTGTTAATTAATAAAACACCACATCAAGTTGTAATCTTCTGAGTACAACTGAGTTTAGCTAAAACCATGCATGCACACCACTTTAAAAATTTACAAGAGAAAGGCAGTTCTTGAATGTTTCTTTATCTTAATTATTTTTTTTGTCTAAGAGAGTAACAAGGAATTACTGCAAAATGCTCCATTACTCCAGTGTAATGACTATAAATCATGGCACTTGCACACATACTTAGGAAGAACAGCTATTTTCTAATTGTTGCACTGGTTATTCAGCAAGAAGTTAAGACTTAATTAAAAGAAACCAAACAGATCAAAAAGTGCTCAATAACTTAGGACTTCTGAAAAATCAATTGATTTATTTTTTTTAGGAATTTGATTTTGTTACCTATCAAATATTACTTATTATCTCAGTAAAGTATACAAAGCAATTGGGAAAAAAGCAGTTGCTCTGCTGCATCAGGGGTTAACTCTTATAAATGTATTATTATTTCTCTCATAGAGTTTATTATTTTCTTCATAGAGTTAGACAATGTTAAAGCAATTTTTTTAATTTTTATTTTCTATCCCACCTTTTATAGGCATTGATATGGAAGATGAATTTGTGCATAACACAGCAAGTCTCTTGCAGCTGTCCTGAAGGTTTTCAGAAACCTAACTTTCACACCTTTGTTGGTGTTTTATACAAAAAAGAGAAATCCCTACAAATCAAAGATACATGAACATGCTACACCTCAAATAACTTAGGGCATTTAAATAATAAAAAAACCCCCAAATAACTTAGGGCATTTAAGTAATAAAAAACCCAAACAAAACAACTGGACATCTTGTTTAAGACTTTATAAACATTTAACAGGGAAAAAATATGTTTCCCTAGAGAATTACTCTACTGATTTTAGCATAATAAAAATTTCATTATAAATTAAGACTTCATCTGGCCTACTCAGGAATAATTTGTAGTAATTTGCAATGTATTTTTACTCTTTCCTTTTCCTTTGTCTCTCCAATGTGTGACAGGCTGGAATGAAAAGCAGTCTGAAAGAGCCCAAAAGGACTGACCATACAGCAACTTGTAACAGAAATTGAATTAAAATTTAAGTTTTAGGGTGTTTATGCTACTACAACATTCAGGAAAAGGTTTTACTGGCAGATATTAATGTGCCTGTGCGTGGAAGTACAGTCTGGAATACAGTGTTTACTGCTCCGTAAACCTTCACGTGAAAAAAAAAAAAATCATAATGCCAAAAAAATTTTGCTTACTGCTCTAAGGAAAAAAGAAAGTTTGTGTAACTCACCAGTAAGAATTTCTTTCCTGACCTTGAAGGTATCAACAATGGGCGTGATAATGCCTTCAATGGTTCCAAACATACTTCCAAGTCCCAAATTTACTAACATGAGAAAGAACATGACTGACCAGAAGGGAGAAGCAGGGAAGTGGGTCATTGCTTCTGTAAATGCAATAAAAGCTAAACCAGTTCCTTGAACTGCCTGTCAGTGAGGAAAACAAAATGTTATCATTATTCATGATTTTTTTTGTTGTTTTTTGGGTAGTGTGACAGCCTGACAAGTCTCTCTTCGTGTTCATATGGTGTCATTGATTGCCTCTTGAAGGCAGAATAGGAAATTGCTACCTAATGCATAATTCTTCCAATTCATACTATTTACTGAAACGTGAGAATCTGTAACTTGATTAGCATTAACACATTTCTTTAATAGAATGATAGACTATGAGGTTTGAAGGTGTCTCATGGATCATCTGGTCCAAAGTTTCTTGGCAGAAGCAGTCTAAACAAGATGGCCCAGCACCCTGTCCAGCTTAAAAGTGTCGACGACGTGGAAACCACCACGTCCACTGAGAGATTAGTCCAACAGCTGACTGCACTCATTATGAAGAATTTTCCTATCTTGTCCAATAAGAACTGCTTTCTCTCCTTCACTAATAATTCTGCATGACAACTACTATATAGGACTACTATAAAATACACTCTGTTTTCTCCAGTAAGCATATAAAGGATTTAATTTCTATACTTTTGTTTCAAATTTTAACAGTGGCCATTGTATAGGAACTTCAGAAGTCTAAGTCACCAATTTTATATTTTATCTTCAGATACTGGTGAAACTATATAGAAGTCAGTGTTTCAATCTGCAATTGCCTCTCTAAAGCTAGAAAGCTATAATTTCTGTTACAGATTTGGCTCACTGTAAGATTTCAAAACAGGATGATACCCATTAAACAACTACCTAATAAGTAGATAATAATTTTTCTGTTTTAGTGTAGTAGTATTTATATCTAATAATTGTATCTTAACACTAGAGTATCTTTCAGCCTGTGACATTGAGTAGGTAACACTTCTGTTTAGCCTTTGGAAAAACCCTCATGGCTCAGTTCCTCTGAAAAACAGAGCTTAAAAAACTTATCACCTCCTGAGAAGAATGGTATAATGATCAAAATATATTATAAATCAGTGAAGACTATATTAAGACACCAGACCCAAAAGTCCTCAAGTGAGCTGGAATGTAACCATGTTTCCATCCAGGTCTTTACAAGTGCACAGCTCACAGGTACACTGTACTGATACTCTGTGTAGGTACACGTCACAGCTTACTTCAGGCTTTCAAATATTCATCTCTTCCTAATCTCTGTATTCAAGATTAATCTCACCTTGTCAAGTTCATCTTCAATTTGACAAGATTTCAGACCAAGAGAACCAAACTGTTCTTCCTTCACTTTCTGTATAATGTCATAAACTAAATTGTAATCTTCTGCTGTAATGCTTGAGAAATTGATATGATGTGGAATGATATCTTGGCTGAGATTGCCCATTTTCAAAAGTTTTAAAATCTTCTCTGAATTTCTGTAAAACACAACAAAACAGAGAGAGCAAACTCAGTGGTCTGTGTTAGTTTATAAATTAAATAAACCATAAAATAATTAAAAAAATAAATGGATATTCATACTGGGTAACACATTTTTCATTTATGATATTGGCTTTGAAGCCCAGAACTGCAAACACCACCAAAGTTGCCAGGACAGAAGTGAAAAAATTGATGAAGGACACCAGTACAGCATCAAAATGGCAGTTGTTGTCTCTCTTGTTGTAGCTTGAAAAGGCAATGACTCCACCAAATCCAAGCCCTAAGGCAAAGAACACCTGAGTAGCAGCTTCTCTCCACACTTTGGGCTCCAGCATTTTTTCAAGCTGTTTGAAATTAGATATAATATATGTCAGCTATAAAATGCATTTCTCTTATATGAAAAAAAAACAACAGAATAAACACTACATCATAAAAATGCTAATACTCCACTACAACTGTATTTTCCTAATGACAAAATGAAACCTGAATGCAACCCCTGAAGTTGGCAAACTTATGGGCCAGAATTTCTATTTCTTTTATATTATCTAAACATCAAGGAGAAACATGCTATACTTATGTTCCCAACACTACTGGAACTATGTAACTGAAACAGCAGCTAGTTATACTGAGAAATAACAGAGAACTTTTTTTACAGTATTCTTTTATTTACAGTATATGTACTTATTTCTGTTAGACTTGAGACATATTTTATATTGATCAACCACTTTAATAAATGCAATGAGTATGATTAAAGTTGGTTTGCTGTTACTTTTCAAATGAACAAAAAGAAGGTGAACATGAGATACACATGCTTATATGGAATTCTATTACATGGAAAAATATGTAAAGCAAAACCAAATATATGAGATGAACACTTGCCACCATAACCTGTATAGTGCATGAGTCAAATCTCCTAAGTCAGATGCCTTGAACTTAACCCTATGTTAAATAGGTCACGTATTTCAGGGTCAACTAAGACTTTTATCAAAAAATTTAAAAGTATTGCTCACGCAGATCAACTGCACTGCTCAAAAAAAAAAAAAAAACAGCTTTGTAACAAAGTTATGAGTCATCATCTATCTCAAATTCTTCTAGACACTGAATCACAAAAAAGAATTAAGTACATATCAAATTTAAACATCAGATTTGCTCAAGCTGATTCAGGGCCTCCATTAATGCAAGTGACTTTTATTTTCTTTAAGCCCTAGGTTTATTCATAAAAGTAAAACAAAAAAGCATCAGCACAGATGCCAGAATTATTAGACTGACTGTCTTACTCTGAGGAGAAATAAATCTGCTATTGTTACAACATGTTGAATAAAATGTCTGTTTCCCATGGAGATATAATATTTATTACAGACAGGGAGCAGAAAGCTTCTTTATTCACTTATATATAGTAGAAATACAATAAAATTGGGAAAAGGTGTTTATGAGAATAAACATATTCCTGACTTACAATTCAGATTGTAATTACAATGCACAAGCGGCTACTGCAGGTAGTTCTAACTGTGTCACTGTCATGCCAGAGCTTTCCCACCAGAGGGAGCGCAAGGAACTCTTTAACAAATCCGTAACTGGTTCAAATACCAAAACACTTCTCGCTTCCTATCATATATCCTTTGGTACCATCAGAAGTAGTGTGTTTTTGGATATACGTAGCCCAGACTTTCAAAATTAACTCTAGATTGTTTTGCTACTAGGTATTGTATTTGCTACTAGTACAGTAGTCTCTGTACTTCAGCTTCATATAATCCCACAGTTTAAATGCAGCAGTTAAGTGGGCTTTTCATATACCTTTCTCTAGGTTTTCAATGAATTTTCTGAATTAGAATTTCTGCTTTGTTTAACAGACATGCCAAACAGAGAAATTCTCCTCTTCTGCATTAGTCTTGCACTTTCACACCTGCACCAATGTGTGCCAGTCCTCTCCTGCGCTGCCATAACTGATGGAAATTTCCTGCAATCGTCTGTGCTCAAAATGTGGTCATTTGTTGAGCTAATTGGGCCAAAAAGGTGCTTCTCCCTCTTTCATCTATCTACCTGGATAATTTTCATGCTAGATTGGTTTAGCATTCCTTTTTAGAGCTTGGATGCCCAAGTGTTAGCACAGTGGAGTGAGTGAAACAGGTGCAAGCATCTGAGTTTCTTCAGATAGTCTCAAATGAACCTACAGTCCAAATTAGTGCTCAAGTACAAAAAAAATATAATGGAAATATTTTTTAAGGTTTATATTCACATATAATACATGTGACATACAGGCCTCCTATCTTCAAATTTAAACCACACCTTAAATTTTGATACAAAATTGGAAACTGTCAGAAGAAATTAAGAACCCATTTTCCCTGGTATCATTTAAATGAACAGTTGAAACATTTGCATAATTAAGAATAATGTAACTGTAAAGTAAACACCAGCTGCAACTTTTTTTAAGTATAATGCATGAAGTAGTGAATACTGAAGAGGTGTTGGTATCCAAGGGCAGCTTTTATATTTTTTTTCCCTCAGTATCTAGTGGTACTTCTCCAGTCAAAGAAAGCATTAACACTGTAGTTGAGAAACCAAATTATACTTTATAGAGGTCTGTATTTCACCTTCACTTTAGACTTTCTCTTGTTAGTAGGCATTACATTTCTCCCCTCCTCAGGTTTCTCAAATTGCCTGAGCAGCCTGCAAGTTTCTGCACAAGCATGTCTCTCTAAAGTGGTGACAGTGAGTGAAATGAAACATCACTGCATCAATGTGAGAGATGACAAAGGCAATTTTTATAGGATGACATTCTCCAGACTCAAAACAGCTGTAATCAAAACAACTGACAACACCTTGTCATCTGGCATTAGCCACTATGTGCATTGATTTTGATTATCTCATTATTTAGCTTTCATTTTTGAAATAATAGTCCTGTTCTTCTCAACTGTATTTTGTGGACTTGTTGGAAAGCCCATTTCAAAACAAAAAATGAAGCCCAGACTTATTCATGGCTCTGACTATCCAAACATGCTGTTCCTATAGTATAGATGTAGTTGCAAACATTTGAGTTAGATGTGGGTAGAATTTAGATCTTCGAGCTAAACAGTGATTCGTAATACTCCTTATCACCTCCATAGTTAAAAAACCTAAAGCTGTGTAAGGCACGTTCCTGGCAAAAATACTGGCAGTAAAAAAATATGCTTAGAACTGCTGCTATCTTGGCATGTCATAAGAAAATTGATACGGAAAGCTGAGTGGTGAGTACTTACACTACTTCACTATTAAATACAGATCACCTGTACTTTGGGCTACTATGTAAACAGCTTTAAGTTTTTTTCTAAAAAGGAGGAAAAAAAAATGCTCTATTCCAAAAGGGAAAAGTTAATTATGCATGACATGATAAAAGTGCAAAATAAGGCACTGACAACCCAGAACTATTCATTTCAATATCAGAAAATGGCAAACTTCTCTTTTCAGTATTTAGAGCTCTCTAAACCTCCTGAACCCTCTAAACTACACTCTCAGTTGTTTAGCTTTGTAGAGGCGAATAACTCTGAGAGCCCTCACATAAGAGAGGTAACTCTACAGACCCTTAGAACACCTAGAGCCTTTGGACTTTAGGGCTTGGTATTGTGCCACTAAGATAAACAAAAATTTTGCAATTTAAGCAAACAGAAATACAGCCAAATGTTCTATGAAAACAATAAGCTTAAATGAGAGCATTCATAAATGGTCAAATTGCCACTGAAACTTTAATACCCTGCAAACAGAAATTAAGTACATACCTTAGGGGTGAACATGTGACGAATTCCATCCACTGACCCATTAAGGAGCAATCCTCTGATCAGAAAGCATAAAAGTACCACATATGGAAAAAGGGAACTAAAATACATGATCTGAAATACAAGAACGCAAGAAAAAATGTAACACGACATTTAACACGGACTTTCATTTAAATATGTTCATTCACTACACAGTATCCTTTGGATATAGGACTGAATTGATAATCATATGCTCTATGAAATACACAGAACACTTCCCCTTCCCCTTGTCTCTGCAGAAGAAAGCAAAATCACATGATTGTAAAAGAAATTCAATTCTGTACTGTACAAAAGCAATACAACTGCCTGATGTATTTATCACTAACTGATAAAGAGTGTCTGGACCTCCAAGAAATTCAGTATGAATTCAATGAGATGAAAACAAAGACATAAAGCTTCTCTTTACAAAAGCACGTTGACTGGGTATGGCAAAGGTAGGCAGCTAATTCTATGAGATGAAAACAAAGACATAAACTGTTACAGAAATGCTTCTCTTTACAAAAGCACGTTGACTGGGTATGGCAAAGGCAGGCAGCATGAATAGAAACTAATTTTGTCTTCAGAAAGAAAGGGGACAATAATCCATAGAAAGTACATAACCAATGAATTCAATCACATGCTTACTGTCAAAACAACAAAAAATAATAATCAAATCTGGTCTTTCGTTACCCATCACTGAAAAGAAAATTTATTCTGTAAAGCTTAGTAAAATGATTTGCTAGTTCTAGGTCACAAATCACCATGTCAGTGCCAAACTTTTTAATAGCAAAGAATTTTGCTACTGGGACAAATTATTTTTTCTCTGAAAATCCCACCAAGATCAAGAGATCTAGCAAACCTTTCACCAGCAAATCCAGCTGGCTGCATGCAAAGGAAAGAAGGTAACAGTACTCAGATGCAGAGTGATGGTAAATCATTAGACAAAAGAAACAATCTAGAATCCTGGAAAGCTGCTGTGTTAATGCCAGAAGCAGGCACATGTGAATGCACTGCAGTCATACGGTGACTACACATGGAAACTTATTTCCTTAGACACTCAAAACACAGAGACTTATACTGCACAATAAAGCTGAGGTACAGTTACATGCAACAACTATGCTGATGAGAAGCAAAATTATTCTTCTTCAGATCTCAATTCCCACTAAAAAACTCCCATTTCCAATAAAATTGATAGAATTTTAATACTTAACTACTAATATTCTTCTACTTGAGATTATACAAGTGCAGGAGTGAGTCAAAGCACTTAACCTGCTCCTACAGATTTCGTGAGAACAAACAGACAGTTTGGTAAACAGAAATGTCCTGAGATGCTTCAAAATAAAACAAGGTCATGCAGGTAAACAATATACTCACTTTGCCTGAAGACTGAATGCCTTTGATCATGGCTAAGCATACCATGACCCAAGCAGCCAGCAAGCAGATAGTCATCTTCCAATTTAAACCCCCACTCTCTGACAGAGAGCTGGAAATATTCAGTGCTTCTCTGTACCAGTAATAAGTGGTTGCAGAACTTTTTTCACACTCTGGCTCCACAACTGTCAAAGAGATGTTAGCAAGTAAAGAAAGGGTTCAGGAGAGATATTTCATAACAGGATTCTATCACTCCTCAATATTTCTAATTGTGCCATCATAATTTATTAAAAAACTAAACTCACAGAACAGTCTTAAGACATTGTCTAAAAGAAAAAGTGAGTGCTATCAGTGAAAGCTTCTGGGTATATCTTTTAAAACACCCCTTTGGGACAATGTATTCCTCTGCATTACAGTTAAACCTACTCGTCCAAGGCAGAATTTATTTCTCACTTCAGAACTAAACAGTAGGCAGGCTTAGACGAAGACATATATTCCATTTATCACAAATAAAATTACATTATCTGCATATGATACTATGAAAACTATCTCTCTGCATTGAACACAAATTTGAAGATATATGGAAAATGAATCATTGTGTCTGCTTTGATATGCTCAAGTAAACAGGGACTTAACTACTATTATAAACAATAAAATAATAACATAATGATACCAAAGTGATGAGAAAAGGAATAAGTGGTTCCTAGACAGATATGTTTAATGGAAGTTGCTATGTATATTCCAGAAGTGATTCTTTGGATCATACTGTAATTCTGTTATAGTCATGTTACCAAAGAGTTTAAGAAACTGTGTGTATCTAGACATGTAACACATGAATAGAAAGATTTCTTCAGAGAAAATATTTACTTAAGTTCTTTATAAATTATTTATACCTGACAATCAACCATACATGTAAGCATGTCCTGAGGCAAGATAATTAATGAAAAAAAGGGAAAAATACACTTTCTTTAACCTAACCTAACATGGACGACAGATCTTCACTGAAATAACTTAATAATGGTAAGATGTTATCAAATATAATAGTTTTCTTTTTTTAAGCTTAGTTCAGATGGCCTCTGCTCAAGTTAGGCTGACACAAGAGTACATAAACAACCACTGCTGCTCAAATAATGAACAGTAGCTTGCGGAATACATTCAGTTTGACTGTGTGTTAACATTCACAAGTACTATTTCTGAATAATAACTGAAGCAAGCAACTCTGGAAAAGACACTACAAAAAGGTGCAACTTTTCAAACATCCCTGGTTATTCTTTATTCAACTGGTAAATAAACCAACAAAAGATAATTAAAGAAAATTTAGGATCTAAAAAAAAGGAAAATAAGAAAGAATCCATATTTCAATAGCAATAATAATACAAAATATGTACTCTTATAAGATAACCAAACCCAAGGGGATAAGGAACGTTTCATGCTGCTATAGAATATGTCTGTAAGAGATTATCTCATTACAGCAAAACTCAAAGGACTGATTATCTCATTTCTATTAATTTACATAGAAAACAGTGCTCTTATAGGACACTTAAGAACACACAAACAGAACTTTTGCACACAGATATCTTCTTGCATTTTAGTTTTTCTCCTTTTTGCTTGAAAACCTCAAATTTTATATACTTTATATGATTTTTAAGAACCTTATGTTAACAGACTTACAGGTGTGAGATGCATTTTTAACTAGAGGACATTGGTCCCACGGTAATGGATGTTGAAAAGACTGGGAAAAGTAAAACAGGCTCCACCCAATAATGACATTGTAGTACAGGGCCACAAAGAAGCATACCTAGGAACAAGGGAAAAAAAAACAACCAAAAAGTTACATTTATGAAGCAAATAAAAAAATGCTTGCTGAACTTCTACATATTTCTGTACATCATTCAATGAACTTGATTAAATAAATTTTGTTTTATTCAACTAAATCAGAAGAAGAAGGGAAGGACGTGTCCCCTTAAAGTACCTGACATTTTATACATTTTCACTTTTCTCCATATTTATTTATTTATTTCACACCTCTACTGTGTGGCATTTTTCCTCCAGAAAGCTACTCTGTTCCACAATTTCAAAAGAATCACAAAATACAAGTTGACTGACTTAACAGACACATATATGCCAACGGTTTAAATGGATCAATTCAAGTTCTAAGATCTTCAAAAACACTGTAAACTGACCTTGATGCCCAGCTATAAATCAATGGCCTTTCCCTGCAGCAAAACAAGAAGTCTAAATCACAACATCTGAAAGCAAACGACACAGTGTTAAAAAACTTACTACACAGCTTGCAAATCCAATTCCTCCAAGTTTGGGGCTGATATAATTCCACACACCAATACTCCCTCGACGGATCTTCTGCCCAACAGCAAGCTCCAAGAAAAAGAGTGGAATCCCTATTATCAGTAGCAAGACTAAGTATGGCACTAGATAGGCACCTATGAGGGGAACAAATAATAAATCAGAGTAAATGGAAAAAGAGTCGGAACTTGACAGAACAAATGTGAACATTTCTAACAGCTTCAAATTTGAATTAGTGTCCTTCTTGCAAAGCTTTTTTGATCACATGCAAGAATAATTTTAGCTGAACCTCAGTCATAAGTCTTTAAGATTTCAAAAACCCAAAGACACCTAATTTATAAAGCACTGTAACAATGGTTGAGGAAAGCCTTACTGCAAGTGAGGTATTACTGAAATGAGTTGTTTGAAATTTTGGACATTCAATCAAATTTTTTAGACATACAGAATTATTGGGAGCTAAATCAACATTTCTTAGGAAATCTTACAGCTTGACTTGTAACAGAGCAGCAAGACTGAATATAAAGGAAATATAGAAAACACTCTGTACACAATATTCTGAGTGAGCTTCAATCATAAGTCATTTCAGAAGATATCTCTTGATTTCTCCATTTCTCAGATGCTCAAAAAGGGGATTTCACACTGTACATAATAATGATGCTACCCAACTAAGCAAGAAAACTGTATCAGCCTGCTGCCACAAGGCTCCAGACAGAAAACAGAAACATGAGGTGGAAGCGAAATGGAGTATTGTAGATCTGTATCTTGCAGTACTCACCAACTCTCTTCAAGTCATATTTGGAAATGCAACTGTAACACCTTTACATAAACATATATATTAAAAGCAATGCCTCTTTTTTAAGGTCTTATTCCCAGGAACTGATCACACACAATTCTAACTTAAGGATGCATCTCCATTATTTCAGGAAGTCTGATTGCAAGCAAATATAACCATACATTAAGCACACTGACAAGTTCCAAGCCTAACTTTCTCCTTGGTCTTGTGGAGTATTTAGTACCAGAGCTAACAAAACATGCAGGCATCAGCATAAGCAACGTGGCACCTGACTTTGTGTGGCGCTTCCACTGCAATGTAGACCATTGTGCTGGACAACTAACTCAAAGGCCTTAGAACTTCTGTTTGAAATCATTATAACGCTAAGGGAAAACCTTTGAGAGATGCAGACTGCAGTGTGTTGAAGCAAGCTACAAAGCAAAGATCTAAAGACCTCAGAAGCTTAGATTCAGAGCTGCTAACTTGTAAAATCAATGTCTTCATCCTGTGATGAAAGAGAAGCTGAGCAAAGTTCAGAAACCGATTTGGCATTTATCCTCAACTCCAGCTAAGTCCTACTTCAAGTTCCCTCATCCAGGGTCAACTTTCTAGGGCTTTTTTAAGGAATCTATCAAAAGGGCATTTTCATACCCTTAGTGGGCAATTTATCTCATGCAGCAGTTTATGCTAGAAAAGCTAAACTTTCCTAGGCTGTGCAGGTCTCATTTGTTCTGGAAGCATTCATTCCTGTTTAGGTCCACTTGCTATTTTGCTCCTCATGAAGTACAAATCAATTGGATATCCCTTCCATTACAAAGATCTTATAAAGATATTAACCATGGAGTAACTGCAGTCTTGAGTTCAAGAGTAGGGGGAAAAAAAAGAAGAAATAAAATCTGAGAAAAATGGGAGCCTCAACACAAGATGTTGACCACCTGGAATGAGTCCAGAGGCACCAAGTTAGACACAGGACTGCAAAACAGACCTGGGAAAGTTGGTTATTCAGTCTGGAGAAGAGAAGGTTCTGGAGAGACCTTATAGAATATTATAGCAGTACTAAAAGGGACCTACAAGAGAGCTAGAGACCTTTAACAAGGGCTTGTAGTGACAGGATATGGGGGAATGGCCTTTAGATGAAGGCGGTTTAAGATTAGATATTAGGAAGAAATTCTTTACTATAAGGTTGATTAGGCACTGCAACAGACTGCCCAGGGAGGTTTTGAACTCCCCATCCCCAGAACTGTTCAAGGCCCAATTGGATGGGGTTTTGAACCTTCCTGGTCTAGTGGAAGGTTCCTTGCCTGTGGCAGGGCACTTTGAACTAGATGATCTTTAAGGCCCCTTCCAAAACAAACCATTCTACAATTCTATGAAAAACCACTGTCCCACCAGACAAAGAATATTAGTCTCATGTACCTCACAGTCTATAGGCTATGTTATCAATGAAGTAGCTCCATGATAATATGTTACGCAATGTCTGACAGTGTCTACTGAAGCATTGTTTTTACTGAGGTAGCAGCTACATTCCTGTTCAGTACTTTGGTGTCTCTCGCAGTTCATCTCCTACGTGCACGTAATGGAAAGAATGCAAAGGACTTACTTGCTATTAAGAAAAGAGACAGAAAAAAAAATAAATGTGAGGAAAACTGAGGAACAGAGCAACAACCACATTGAAAAATGAGGGGGACTATCTGTCTTAAAAACATATAACACAGAAACCATTCAATACCCCTGATTGACTCTCAAAATTTCTGCAACACAGAATTTACATTGCAAGTGAGAAGCTTTGGCATCACTATCTTTAAAAAATCTGCTCATAGAAATCATTGAAAGTCAACAGTACATAGGTGTTACATCATATAATGCTACTGTAAATGATACCTTAGATCATTTAGACAGATGTGCAATAGCTGAGTAGAGACAAACCTATACAGCTCAAAAAAAAATTGGGGCCTAGTGACTTACCCTGTATCCCACTGGATGACTGTACTAGAGCAGGAACTGAACCCAGCTCTTCAGTGTCCCAGTCCACAACCTTAATCACAAGGCTGCAAAGTTAAGCACATGTTTAAAGACTGGGCTGATGTGGGTGTTCTATGGTGCAGTATCAATGTAAATTGTAAGATTTATCTTACAAATAGACTCTACTAAAAGAGTTCACTAAATGTGGTGTTAAATCCACATTACATTAGACACGACAACTCTGTAATTCAGTGGGTAACCAGACAGCAGAGCTCACCTCTACACTGCTAGGTTTGTGCAAAGCACCTGAAGTGCTGGTTCTTCTGATTATTCAAACCTCCTGAGCTTCCTTCCAATCTTGTTCTTGTTGCCAAAAAGGACATAACTGAAAATTGTGCATGTGTCAGTTTCAGCATGATAGAGCTTGGACATAGCTGGATTGTACAACTGTATCACAGCTGCAAAGGGCTGCTGTGCCCCATAGCCAACAGGAAACCACAGCATCTCTGGGCAAGTATTTTGCTAAGTCTTCCCTTGAAGTCAGACATATTTCAAAGACCTTTAAGACATCATAACTTCATCCTAAAAAAGAATCACTATGGAAACATTTCAGCATATCTCTTGCCTGTGCATGAAAACATGGGACTTTGCAGTTACAATATTGGATAAGGACCATTCAAATTTGAATTTGAATAATAAATTTGCCTTGAACAACATCCTACAATCAGTTGTTTGCTACACCTATCAACTAAGCTGCCTTCTGAATATTACAATTCTGTGTAGTTCAGGATCCCCAGGTCTCCTTTCTACACTTACAAAATTATTCAACCATGAAGACACTTTTTTTTGCCTGTTTTGGTCTTAAACATTGGCTTTCATATTAAAAAAACTCAATAAGAAAAAAAAAAACCCTCACCCTTCTCTACTAGAATTAATGACAAAGATATAAGAGATTTCATGAAGATTTCAGGATTGTTAAAACTGTGCACTGCTTTGATTTCCTTATTTTTTTATTAAGCCAAGTACCAGAATGGGATATCTGGTGAACTGTCTTTCTTGAGATCACCATAAGGACTGCATTTGGCAATATTATTGACAGAAGTGGAATAATGACATTGGTTTTGATTTAAGCTCTTAATAATGCTCCAAAAATTAACAAAATTATTATATAATTAAATAAAATAATTATTCATTAGTGATTAAAGAGCTGGAAAATATTTTCAAAAGCAGTAACACAAAGGAACATAACCATTACCACCTTGATAATACAGATGAATTTTCTTCTAGCAATTCTTGCTGTAACCTGAAAAATGCATTAACTTTCCACAAGTGTTTCAGCTGCTGCTGTGCTAGATTTTAAGTGTCTGGTGTCTGATTTAATTCTTATTCAATCAAAGTAAAGTTTACTACTGTCTTGAAGAGCGATCCCAGCTCTTATCACTTACTAGACACTTACTAACAGAATGCAAGCAAGAAGCTGACATTCAGATCAGGATAAGCTGATTTTCTATGTCAAATACTTAAATTTTTGAAGTTATGGCAAGTGAGCAAAAAAGCACTATAAATTAACAGTATACTAAGCTTCAGTAAGTAAAATTATTTACCACTACAAAATGGAAACTGCTTTTGTCGGGAAAATTCTGATAAATGGTTTTATGTTTTATCTGTAGGTTTTTATCTGTATCCTGATAGGGTAGTCTTCCTGTCACTAGTTTCAGTATGTTCAGGTGTGCCTGTTTACAAAACTGTGCTTAAAGGGTGAATATCATCTTAGCCAAACAGCCTTAATGAAGAATTACACTTGCAAAATACAAGACATTTTCAGAACACTAAAGTACAACTAAATTTTGAGTCTGGTAATACTGAACTCACAAGATTATACTGTAGTCATCAGTGAACTCAAGGCACTGAATATAAATTACTTATCCAAAGCTACATAATAAAGCCTCTGAATCCATACTCGAATGCAGGAATACAAAGGAATATTTGCTTTGCTCCCATTTCTCTTGTATTAGTTGTTTGCTTCTAAGAGCACTGCAGAGGAAAAAGTACAACTGCCATGCTTTTTCATTAGACCACAGAACTTTAATGTCAATCTGTTGGTGTTTCAGTAAAAAATTCAGACTAATTAACTGTAAAAGCTCAGAATGTGAGTCTATCCAGGTCAATTTTTTCACAACATAATGACAGCATCATGTGCTACAATTTTTTCTATTTTGCTTACAGCTTTTATCTATAATTGTTTAGTTCTTTTGACTTTTTCCATCACAGAGATATTAAAAAATACTTACCTTAAAAAAAAGAAAAAAAGAACAAATCAGAAAATTAAGTTAATGCTCACAGAAATGCAACACAAAATCTTAGGACATATAGTACCTTGGAGACTTCTCAGTTTTCTTCAAAGTAACACTTAGTCATTTCAGCAGAATAGCTAATTTATTTTGCTTTTGTTACTTCTAATTATGTAACAGTATCATTATACTTCTGCTAATCCTAAAGGGAAATGACAAACAAACAGAATAAACTTTAAATATTTTCTCTAGTTGAAAATTGTGAAAGGTGGGCAAGCTGTCCTCCAGATGACAGGAGCAGCAGGGAATTATAAATCTAGTTTGCCACTATTTATGAGCATCTTGGCAAGACTGGGCAGACCTGAGCAGTTCATTTTTAAGGCTATCAAACACAGGAAGCTGAGGCAGCTCTGAACCTAGGTTATGAAATTGTTATATAGGAACTGTACTTATCTGAACAAAAACACACATTCACCTTCACGGAGTAAATGAGGAATAAACAAATCCTACAGTGTAAAAATGAAATTGAGCATACTCAACTCAAGCACAAATTGTCTTTATCAAGCATCAAGGATGAAACATCTTTTTTATCTGTTAGGCTGCAAAGAGTGGAAGAGGTGCCCTAAGTGCCAGATGGAGTCTGGGCATTGTCTGTTAGGGGTAAGAAGGGTGAGGTGGTGAGGACAGAAAGATCTATAGTCAGTTCTCAAAACTTCACTGAACATCTTCAGCCCCTATTTCACACAGCCTAAAATTCCTTTGTGCCCTCCCTCTCAAAGTCAAGAAAACCAGCACTCTGGGGTGCCCTTAGCTGCTCCCACTCTTTTTTCCACTCCATACATTCAGCACTACAGCCACATCCCCAGTGTGGACCCCAGTACATCCCAGATGTATACCAGCCTTTTCTCTCACTTCTCCCAACAAACATTTTTCTGAGAATAAGACAAGTGTGAAAGTCAGCAAAGACATATCTAGTCTAGTTGTAACTTAGTTAACTATAAAAAATACCAGGTATTACTCTAAATATTTATGAGTTGCTATGAATTAAAGCAATGGAAGTAACTGTTAAATAATCACAAGAAATAAATTGAAGGAAGTTGGTTTGGTAAAACAGAGCAGACCCAGAAACAGAGATTGCAAACATATCTACAGACATCCAAATTCTCACTGCAGTGTGGTGCTACTCAAGTTACTTGCAAAGATGGTATCACAGGTATTTCATTGAAGCAGTAGCGAGCTCTGACTTTAGGAGTGTCATTATACCATAGGCCACAGCCATAAACAAACTAAATCTCTACTGAAACTAGGATGGGAAACACAAAATATTTTTCCACTAAATTCTTGAATAACATATATCTATTTGGGCTAACCTTGCTGTATCTTATCTATCTTTATTTTGCTGTTCTTTTCACAGAAGTTTAAGAAAAAGATAAAAATTGAGATTATTTCACAGTTAGGATTTGCTTTTTCTTTTACTGGTGACTTTAGTGTTGTAAGAAGGCTGTGAAGGAAACTAAGAGTAACTATGGTTTTTACTTATTTTTGGTTTAAATTGGAACTGGATCTATTGGTTTACTACTTTTTAAATATAATTCCCACCCCTCACATGGTATCTTCCAGATATAAGTTCCTTAAACAAAGGGAAGAAAATGAAGGTCTAAACTGAAGGTAGAGACCTAGTCATAGACTAGGAAAGTTTACTTTATACCAAGAGACTTCAACAGGCATTTACAGTAAAACTCCATCAACAGAAGATTACAGAACAGTTCTGATACTGATATTTACATGGGTTACATAAAACCCCTCTAATTTTGCCTAGAAAACTTATTTGAAATAGTATGTGGAGCAGAAAACAGAACCTCATACAAAATCTGTGTAGGTTTTCTTACCATGTGCTTGAAGTTTTCACTCCCTCCCCCTATTCTTCTATGCACTTGTGACAATTATCTGTCCATCTGCACACACATACAGGCACCAATGTACTTTACATATTTCCAAGTTTTGTGTCACCTTCTCCATCTTGCATTATGATAAACTTGAAAAAACCAAGCAAGCTTCAGCTCTAATGATCAATTCCTTTTCTCTGTTGCTCAGAAGGCTGCCATTTGCTAAACTGGTGCAAAATCATTGTTAAAAGCCAAATACACACTTGTCTCAGCATGTGCAGAAAACATTGTACCTCCACATTGTACCTCCACAGACTATGCTATGCATCCAATTTCCTGCAATCACAGCACAGGAGAAAACACTTAACTACAATCTCAAATGACACCATAGTTACTTTTTCAAATTTCATTAATAAAGCGTCATAATCCTTGAAGATTGGCTGGTTTACTCTTTTAGTGGGTTTGGAGTTGTTTTTTTCTGAAATGTGAAATTATTAACTAATTTATATTTGACCACAATTAAAGCAAGTGGCTTGCACAATTCCTAACTACATTAGACACAGACTTTCAAAGGGACACAACTGCACAAAATAAACTGCTGTAGTCCATTGTCCCTGAGACTATACTTGACACTATACTTGACACTATACTTGACACTATACTTTAAATCAATCATTTAATGACTTTCTCTCCAGAATAAAAGAGAAAAAAAGAAACTTAAATGATAGCAAAAAAAAAAGTAACTAGATATAAAAGAATTTAACTTCATTCTGAAGATAGAATATTTAAAAGCGTAAACTTAATTTTTAGTGCTTGAATTGAGAGAAAACAAATAAAGAATTACACTTTTATCATATTCTACGCTCATTTCTATACTCCTCAATTACATCAGTTGTATCATTCATCTTTTAAAAAAGCAGCAGGAGTAGAATGCTATTCTTCATTTTCTGTACACATTAATTTTCTGTATCATAAAAAGTGACCACTTTGTTTTGAATTCAGCTTAGTAATTAGCTACAATAGGGTGTGCATTAATGTGGTATATTTGGGTATGGTATAGCATTGGATGAAATACTAATCCTGCATTCACAGAGGAAGGAAAGTTTCCAGCCTCATACTTGAAACTGGACTGAAGACCACAGATGGTCAACTAACAAACAGCTTGATGGCATTGTTTTAAGTGAAAGGCACCTTGTTATTTATGAAAACAGTAAACTGTCTAACAGCACAAAAACAGATGCAGTCCCTTAACGGAATGATTTAAATTATTTATCATTATTTAAAAAAAAAAAAAAAAAAAAACAAAAAAAAACACCTGGAATGATTTAAATTATTTATCATTATAAAAAAAACAAAAAAAAAACCACCAAAACCCCTACTTTTTCCCTCCCAGAGTATTCTGAAGTTCTTACCAGAAGTAAATCATGATCAAATGGCCAGGAGTTAAAAGTAATTAGAAAGTAAAGGTGTGAAACTTAGTACCACTAAATACTGAAAGATCAAATGCTGCTTTGGTCTTTGAAGTGGATGTAGTTTTAATGCCTTGATTTATTGTCAAATTACTATAAAGAACACTTAAGCACAACAGGTCCTAAACAATGCAACCCTCCATAATTATGTTACAGGTAGCCACAGGTTTCAGCAGAAAAAAGGTTGTATCAAGAGCTCTCTACCCTAAAATGAGGAAATGGTATCTTGGAAGAATCTGCTACTTACTTTAACAAATGCATCTTTCTAAATAAAGAGAATGTGGGTTTTTCCTAATAGGCTCTGGCAAAAACTAGAAGAAAAACCCAACATGTTGGAGCAGGCTTGACTGTGGCTCTCTGCTAACTTTGAAATCTGAAAGGTTAGCATCGTCATCTAGGTACAACCAGCTGTATCACAAAACTTACCTCCACCATTCTTCTGACACAGATAGGGGAATCGCCACACATTCCCCAATCCCACAGAAAATCCAACTTGTGCCAGAATATATTGGAGTTTGCTGTTCCAAGCAGGTCTCTCATCTTCTACATCTGAGCCTTCTTCAACATCTACATCTTTTTCTTCTGGATCATCAACCATAAGTTCACTCTTCTTGAAGGCATCATCTGAAGAGTCCTCATTAGAGAGCAGGTCCTTAACTGACTCAATGACCTCATCATCTAGATCTCTTTTCACTACCTTGCTGTTCTTAGGCATTTGTAATTTGAAACAAAAGCAAGGAGATGACGTTCAGCTGAAACAGATGGACACTGAAGTAGATTCTCCCTCTGCTTGGGAAAAAATACTGAATAAAAAGACTGAAGATGGTGCCTGATGGGTCCTTGATACCAGGGAACCAAGAGTAAGAACTTCTGTTTCTGAACACTTGCTCTACTGATAGTATCTGTGGAAAAAGAAATTAAGAAGGATATTATATTATTATGCAGAAGAAACTTAATTTTGAAATTGTGTGCCTTGTCTTACCCATTTTTGCATATCTCAATAATTTGACAAGAGAAGAAAACAAGAAGAAAGGGAAGTTAAGCCACTTTCAAATTATAGGGAATAAGTCCACTACTTGGTCTAAAATATTTTGCAAAATACATTTCGTTCACTTGTTAAGGGTTTTGTTTTGGTTTAGTTCTTAAGCACTGACAGGCTAACTGCTCATACTTTTATATCATAACAAGATTCTTCTTCTTAGGCACAAAAGGATACACACTTTACATAAAATGTAGGAACCCAACTCCCTTACTTGCTGACTTAATAGCTTTACTTGAATTTATTAAAAGTATATTTTAACCAAAATAAATTAAGTTTTTCAGACCATCTCAGAAAGTCACACAGCAAGTAAAATTTTGATAGAGAGGCTGCACCTAATAGTACAAAACCAATGGTGACTTATTTGCTTACTACTCTTCATGCGGGAATATATAATCACAGTCAAAATTTGAAAAGAGAGATGATCATCTCTTATAAGTTTGATGCTTTAGATAGTTTTAATTATTTCTCGTTTCTAAGAAACTATCTGAAATATTTGAAATGCCAAATCCATTTTAAAAGCCTACTGTTTCAAATGTGTATGTACAGAAACAAAAATGAATATGCATTTGAATATGTGTTTTTCTTAAACACAATCATTTAAAGACAGACAGACATACTTGCAGCTGCCATACAAAGGTTAACTCTAAGATTTTGGGGAGGAATGTATTTCAAGAAATTCTTCACTAATCACATGGGATAAAACTAGTGTGTGCAAAGCCATCTGCACAATTAAGAGTCTTAAAAGGGATTTAGATTATGTGTTAAGCTTCATGAAAGTTCCAAAGAAGGCTTCTGTAAGGCATACACAAGTTTAATCAAGAACTGCTAACTGATGAGAATCAGAAATTACTTCAAAAAACATGAGACCTTACAGCTTTTGCTTACGGACTTCCTGCAACATCTATCTGGTCCATAGTATGAAGACTGCATCGTGTCCTGACAAAATCCCATGCATTGGAGAACTGCAAGGTACTGTTCACACAGTCACTGAGAGGTCAAGCACCTCGCGGCTGCCTCTCTGCCAGACCCAAAGGAAAGATGTTAAGCCTCTGGAACCCAGCCCACAGCTTATCAAGAAGAGACTTCACAGCACCAGAAATAAAACCTCTGCCATCACAAATCCTATCACTGACCTCCTAGCCAACAGGGCAATTACTTTTTTCCAATAATTTCAAAGGATTTGGAAGTTGAAGTTCACTCCAGTTGCCTACTGAACTCAGTTGTAACCTCTTTTCACCGATTCCCTAGATTCCGGTCACTGTCTTCTCACTTTCCCTTCTGTTACTGCCTCCTCTCAGCAACTCTAGCTCTGGCAGTCAGCCCAATTTTTTTTAAGCATAGTAGAACCTACTTGGCTTATGATCTGCTTCATGTTCACTACTGTCACTGAAGGGTTCAGGGTCCTATAAACCTTCCTTCTGACATGCAGCGGGACTAGCACCAGGCTTTGCTTTGACTGTTACCAGTTCTTCCACAAAAAAAAAAAAAAAAAAAAAAAAAGTGTATCAGCTATATAGAGAACAGCAGAACAGGGAAAAAGTTGTTTATACAAATAAGAAATCCTAATACTCTATCCTGTATATCTGGGCTAAATGAACGTCTGTGTGGGCCTCTTTTAATCTGTTCTGTCTTTTGCATTGCAGCCTTCAAAGGACTACACTCTCTTCTAGTTCATACATGATTCAGTGGCTCTTAGTTCTGACTGAGATACCTATGTAGGACCAAAATGCAAACTTAACACATTAAGTTGAAGCATTTAAGCAGTCCTAATGGAGCTTTGGGACTATAAGCCACAGCATCTGGTATTTCAAACACTACTTTTTGTCACATTTCAAACTTTTTTTTCCCCTTTGTTCCACTGATGTAAATTAGAAAGCAGCTTCTCAGTTCCAGTAATTAGTAGTAAGTTAGGGATTACACTAGAATGAAACAGCTGCACATGTGAAACAACATCAGTATTTGTCTCTTAAGTCTGAAATCCTTCTCTAACTGTAACAATAAAAAGAGATGTTCAGTCAAAAACATAAGCCATCCATCAGTATTTACTGAAATGTTTTAAAAGGTCATACCTGTTTCAATTATTTTACATAGAGTAACTTGCAGAGCAGCAATATGATTTTTCTGGAGCTCTCACTGATGAGTCAATTCCAACAAAAATTGCATCACTCTGTCCTGTCATGCACTAAACATTGCACTGCTACACTTCAGAACAAACTGGGCTTGAGACTTCTAGCACAGTATCCTAATAATTTCCCTTTCATTAACCTTCCATTAGACAGTATGTTAGGCACAGAAATATCACTGTGTAGACTGCAACATTTGCAGGGCTTGAGAAAATGTGGGAGGCATGCTCAGCAGGCTGGTGCATGGTTCTAACAGGACTGCTTTCCTAACTCAATATATTATGGCTGGCCAGACTGCACCAAGGATGGGGGACAGTTCTCCCAGACACAATGCAAATCCAAAGGCACTCTCCTACTTTCAGATTTAACAACTTTCCTCTGTATTAAAGGAGCTGCTACTAAAGCAAATAAAAAGCCCTCTCTCAAGAGATACTACCCTCAGGTACAAATGTTTGAAGTGTGAAGCCAGCAGGTTTGTGCAAGGAGTCTACTGCTCCGTGCTCAGCACTCCCAGAACACAGCCAGTGACACGCACAGAAGCTGCTCTTTGATCCAGAACAAACCTGCACAGAAGACTGATAAACTACTCAGCTTGAGCCAGGTATAGATATGAATGCTCCTGTGTGAAGTCTGAACAGGAGAAAGAGTTACTCACCAGCACTGATTAGCTAAACACAAACCACTGAACAGGCTTTCTTTTTTCTCATCAAGAGTATTGAAATTAAGCACTTCACCATATAAAATGCTATTCTATGTTCCCACATCATTTGGATATAGTCCAGCATTGAAGTTCATCAGCATTAAATTAGGAAATATCACACCAAATTCTGTTAAATATCTTCAGTTAGTTCCAGTACTTGTTACATTCTACACTAACTTGTATACAAATACAGAACTATGTGATGAGACAGGTAGTTTTATAAATGCTTAGTAAAATGGGGATTTGTTATGTAGATTTTTAAATTATACTTAGGAGAAACGATCATTATATTAGGACTCCACGTCCTAAATCTTTTCAGGTATTTTAAAACATTACTATGATATTACCAGTACCTTGGATTAAAAGTAAAATGTCTAAAATATAATTTAGCCTTATGAAAGCTATTTGTTTGTAAGTTGTATTTTTTTTTCTGTCTTGAATTTAAATCGTAGAATTTGATCAACTGATTAAGTTCTCAGCGTCTCATCCTTTTCATGATTCAAATTACACAACCTGTCAGACGAAAACACTGAAGGGAAATTTTTATTACCACGTTTATTGGAGAACATAATATTTTTCTGGACTTTTCCATTACTAAAATGAGGAAATAAGAACAATTTTCCTTTTTTTATGTAAAATTCCATTTATAAATAAATCTAAAATTACTCTTAAACTGACGTGACAAGCATCTGTATTGTTTGATGGAATTTAACAGAGTGAAAATTGATGCACAGTACATGGTTCAGTTAAAGGAATATTTAGAAAATTATTCTGCCACTGAAATAAAGGCAATCAATAATCTGAGTTGGCATAAACACACTTTTGTAAAAAAACATACTAAAACAAACATATGGGCTAGATTTTAATTATGTCTTACTAGAATTGTCCTTGATATGCTAGTATCTATTTCTTTCACAAACTGAAAGATAAAACGTTGAGTCTTTTCTGACTTTTTTGATACCGAGCAAACTGCAGACCCCAACTTTCTCAGAACACAGCAGGAATTTTGTTATTTTTTTCCACGGAAAAAGAATCAACTCAATGAACTAGCATGCAGAAGTAAAGTAACCTGATTAGACCTCCACATCACTAGCAGATGAAGTAATAATAATCCCTTGCAATAGGGAATTCAGACCCAAATTAGCTCCCTGGGAGATCCACGCTCGCTATAGAACTTTTACTTCAGCTTCAGGCCTGTATTCAGAAACGCTGGCACAGGGAGATAAGATTTGCAATGCCTCCACTGCCCAAACGTGCAAGCATTTGCAGTAAGACCCAAAGGAACTTCATTAGTCAAAGCACCAAAAGACACACTGAAAAACATTGCTGCATATCCTTTTCTCACAATCTTTTTTGCAAGGAATGTCTAGTAAGGGACTTGTCCTGGTTCTGTTCAGCACTGCTGCTCCTCTTCACCACTACACTGGCAATGAATCTTATGTCAGGCTCCTTCCGATGCATCTCTATTAGACAGATCTGCATGCCAATCAACACAGAGATACCTACTAGAATAACACTGTACTTCTGGTTCTCTCAGCTGTGTAATACCAATAAACAATTAAAGTTACAAGGCTGGAGATTTTCCCAACATGTACAGAAAAAGAGGCACAGAAAACCCACTTCAGTCATGGATTTGAAAGTATAATGAGTACAGCTGCCCCATGTTCTTGGAAATTCAGCACAAACCTCTGTAAAAAGCCATTTGTTAGGCAATTTCATGTTTAAAACATCCCACAATACTATTGCAACAACTGATATAACTAAGTATTAACGAACTTCTAGCAGTGTTTTTCCAACATAAATTACAACACAATAATTCTTGCATCGCGTTTCTTCTTAAAACCAGTACTTCCCTCTGAAAAGGAAAGCCAAAAATATTATTTTCTAAAACAGTGCATATTTTTTATTTTATGATCTTTTTATTTCTGATGGAAACACAGCAATTTGACAAAATTATTTACATTTCCTTTTTAATGTTTTACAAATAATCCTCAATACCTTTTTGGTTCAATGTTTGCCACTGAAAGGATTAAAGTG